GGGCTGGAAGGATGAGCAGAGCAGGGTGAGGAGGCCTGGTGGGGCGCGGTCAGGATCCCACTCTGTCTGGGGCTGGGGGTGGGGGCAGGGCCACACTCTCATGCACTTATCACAAGGGTCTCCCTTTGCAACAAACAAAGGAGCCTTTTGATGAGGGGACTGAGAGCAGCACACAGGCCCCCACCCCAAGGGCTGGCCCGCAGGACTGCCCGTGGCCCAGGACACCTCCTCCTCAGTGTTGCCAGCTCCTCTCACACCTCTTGCCTCAGCCTCTCACCACCTCCTCAGAACAGCAGATAGCAGCAGCGTAGCAACGCCTGCGAAGGGCACTCTGGTGACACCCCAAAGTGACAGAGCAGCGCCTCTGACAGCTCCCTGGCCACCTCTGAACCAGGGCTGTGACCGGCTGGGTGAGGCTGCCCATGGCCGGCCTGGAAGGGTGAGGGCTCCCCAGCCTCTGCTGTGCCTCTCTCAGCCGCAGCAGAGCCCCTCCCTCTGCTCCTCCTGGAAAGCAGCTGGGGACAGGCCAGGCCCCGGGACAGTGCCTCCGACAGCTGTGCTGCAGGGCCTCCCAGCCCACAGGGCAGGGGCCAGCTACTGGAACTAGAGCAGGCCCCGCCCACCAGAAGTCTCCCTCCTCCCAGGTAAGTGTCCACCTCCATGAGCAGGTGGCTCCGAGCAGACATCGGGACCAGCCTAAGGCCCTGGAGCCAGGACTGAGCGCTGCGCCCACCCTGCCGAGCTGCAAGCCTAGAGGGCAGGCCGGGGGCAGGGAGCTCGCAGGCTCCCCACGGCGCTGACCCGGGTGGCCTCTGAGCCCTGAGCCTGAGCCCCGGCTCCTCCTGGGGCCTTGACTCCCAGAGGGACCGAACCCCGACACTGGTGGGGACACATGCCCCCCTCTGAATGGCCTGGCACACGGCAAGAACAAGTCCTTTCTAGAACCTCAGGCTGGGGAGGAGGAGGGAAGGCTGTGGGAGGCAGGGCCCACATTCCCAGTCAGCTCTGCCTCCAGGCGCTGGGCTCGGTCCTGTCACGGTGGCCGCAGGCCCCATCTCCCCCCAGAGTGTCCGCAGAACTCCAACCCACACCCACACCCACCCACACCCACCCACACGCCCGCGGGGCTTCATCCCGCTCCCCACAAGACCCCCCACCCGGCTGCTGACCCCCAGAGGCCGTCACCTTCCTCATCTCCTGCAGCCCTGCCGCCTCCCTCGGCAGCCTTGGTCTCGGAGTGAGCCCGCCCGTGGGGGCGGCACCACCGGCTGCTTCCTCCCCACAGAGCTGTGGTCGGGGACCACAGGACAGGACGCACATCCTGGAACCCTCACACGGGCTCCCGACAGGCAGGCGGAGGGCCGGGTTTTCCCACAGCTGGGCCCGTTCTGGGGGTGA